ATTAGCTGAAGTGGTCTGGTTGGCTATAGTGTCCCTTTAATCGGATTGCCTATATTAAAGGCACCTACCAAGTGAAAGCCAATAAGGAGTATTGGAATGGACCAATGATGGAGGAGGCCACACCTCCTCCATGATGTTGTAAGAGGCAGAGGTAAGCAGTGCTGAGGGAGCACTGGCACTGTAAAAAGGTGAGTAACACCCTTTATTTTATAATTTTTATTGCACACACAGGGGTGGGGGAACCTATGTCAATATACTGACTCCAAGTACCATGAGCATGTCAAATAACTGAAGTGGTCATGGTGGTTGCAATAACTCTTTAAATATATGTGGTCAATATTTTGTGTTTATTTCTGCAGTGCAACTTTCAATGACACTTTGTCACTTTCTATAGCAACACAGAAAATATTAGGTTTGATTAAACTTGACAAACTCGCTAATTATTTACTTTCTATTAAAGGGACACTATAGTCACCAAAACAACTACAGCTTATTGAATTTGTTCTGGTGAGTAAAATCATTACCTGCACGCTTTTTGCTCTAAACACTGCCTTTTCAGAGAAAAGGCAGTGTTTACATTACAGCCTAGTGATAACTGCTAGAGATCTGCTAGAGATCCTTCCTGGGTCATGGCTGCCTAAAATGCATCCAAACTTTCAGTATGCAGACACTGCATGCAGACACTGAACTTTCCTCATAGAGATTCATTGATTCAATTCATCTCTATGAGGAGATGCTGATTGGCCAGGACTGTGTTTGACTTGTCCTGGCTCTGCCCCTTACCTGCCTCTGTGTCAGTCTCGTATAGGGAAGCATTGTGATTGGATCAGGCCACCACTTCTGATGATGTCAGCAGACAGCTTGTTTTTCTGAGGCAAACAGCATGCAGATCTACAGCTTCAGGCTCCAATACAGTAAGATTTTGCTATATTTATGGAGGCATGAGGGGCCCAGGGGGGCTAGATGGTGGTTTTAACACAATAGGGTAAGGAATACATGTTTGTGTTCCTGACCCTATAGTGATCTTTTAATTCTACACCTAAAATTGACCTCCACACTATAAAGCTTTATCTGGGGTTTTCACTAGGCTTAAAGCTATAGGAGGGTTGATATCCCATTGGGCCCTTAGGCAGGCTACTAATTTACCCAATCCCCACCTTCACTCTTTACATACAGTGGCACAAAAGTAAGAAACCCTTTGAAATAAGTTTCTGCATGAATTCATCATGAAATGCAATCTCATCTTCATCAAAGTCAGAAGTATAGACACAAACAATTTATAGTCGGTATTGAACATATCCCATTAAACATTCAAAGTGCTGTGGAAAAAGTAAGTGAACACTTTGCACAACGTTCAGGAGGAATTGTGGATCACTCTTACTTACAGAACTGCTTCAGTTCAGGCATATTCTAAAGGTGTTTGTGTGAACAGCTCTCTTGAGGTCATTCCACGGTATCTCTATGACGGTAAAGTCTTTTCTTTTTTCGAAGCCATTCTACGGTGGATTTACTTCGACTTTTAGGATCATTGTCCTGCTGCATCATCCTACATCTACTGATCTTCAGATGGTGCACAGCCACCCTAATATTATCCTATAGGATATCTTGATTAACTTGGGAATTAATTTTTCCCTTGATGAAGGCAAGTGGTTCAGGCTCTGAGCCAGCAAAGCAGCCCCAAATCATGATGCTCCTTTCACTGTGCTTGACTGTTGGGACGATGTTTTCATGTTTTTATCCGTTGCCTTTTTTACACCATACATAGCCCTGCATGTTCTTCCCACATAACTCAACCTTTCATCAATCCAAAACATATTTTACTAGCAGCGTAGTGGAGTTTGTCACTAGTTTGTCAAGGTATTAAACTTCAATAGCGAAGCACAGATTTTGTTATTTTTTGCAAAGCAATGGCTTTCATAATAATGGTGTCCTGCCATAGACAGCATGCTTGTTCAATGTTTTCGATACAGCAGACTCATAAACTGATATGTTTACCAATTCCAATCTTTAAGTCTATAACTCTATAGGGGTCATTGTTTTACATCATTGAGAATTCATTGTATGGTTTGCCTTTCAAGTTATCTTGGCCACTTCTGGGGAGAGTAGCCACAGTACGAAATCATCTCCGTTTATAGAAAATTTGTCTACCAGTGGACAGATAATTATATGAGCTCTTTGAAATAACTTTGTAATCCTTTCCAGCTTTATGCAATGCAACAATTTTTGATCGCAGGTCTTCTGAGTACTCTTTTTTGCGAGGTACAGTTCACATTAGAAGCAGCTGTTTGTGAATAGCAAACTCAAAATGCTTAATTCCTTTTTTTTAAGTCAAAGTAGCTCTAACCCATATCTCCAATCTCATTTCATTAATTTGACATTGTCTGCTAATTTCCAGCTCTAATTAGCTTTTGTTGAAGTCATTAGCCTAGGGTTTCACCTACTTTTTTCCAACCTTTTATGTGAATATTTGAATGATTTGTGTTTTATTAGTCAAAACATTGTGTTTTTTTGATTACTGTAATTCAGATGAACATCAAACCAGATTTGAAAACAAATTTATAAATAAATGCAGTCATTTCTAAAGGGTACTTTTTCTTGCCACTGTGGGTATGGTTAATGGAGTCAAGCAATCTCATGGTTCCAGAGCCCCTGTCTAACATTTTGGCCCTATGCAGTAGCCTAGGGTCACCTTACAGTTAAAGAGACACTATAGTCACCAAAACTACTTTGGCTTAATGAAGCAGTTTTTGTGTATCGATCATGCCTCTGCTCAATTAACTGCCATTTAGGAGTTAAATCACTTTTGTGTCTGTTTATGCAGCCCTGGACACACCTCCCCTGGATGTGACTGACACAGAGAATGGCAAAGAATTGAGGGGGCATGATCAATACACCAAAATTGATTTCATTAAACTGAAGTTGTTATGGTGCCTATAGTATCCCTTTAATTCTGCTCTGCCAAAAAGCCACACCAAGCTTTTGTGGGCAGATACATTTTTGAAACATAGACTTCTGATAAATATCTTAACTTTAACTTTGTTTAATGCTGAATTGAGTCTATTTTAAGATATTCTTTAAAGAGAGAATTGCCCAGAGATTCACGTAATGCCAATTATGATTTAAACGCCTCAAGCTGTTACATACCAGAAATCATCATATCTACACCTGATGTTATTTAAAACAATTCACAAATAATGCAGTTCTCGATTGACACTGGGCATGTGTGGGAGATAACCTATTTTACATTCTTCTTTTCCCATCACATGTAAATTATATTACACTATATTTATCAAGGTGGCGTTAATAAAGGTTGATGAATAACAAGAAATGTAGCGTAATGTCAGGTGTGTATCAAAAATATAATTGGTATTTCAGAAAATATCAAATATCAAGAAATTAATTTGTAATACCAAGTTTCCAAATATCACATATACTACATAAAAGGCTGAACTTTAAATTGGGAAGAAAATAACACAAACTTTTTATTGTTTTGTTAGGAAACTAGTATAAAGTGATTTAAAAAAAAATGTTGCTAAAAGGTGTGTAAATACCTAAACACTCTTTTAAAAAAAAAAAAAAAAAAATATCTGTAGTGGTTGCCAATGGAAAAGTGATCCCATGCCCTTTGGTAAGGGGGTCATGTAAAATGTAGTTAAGATGGAATGGATGATGATAATGTGGAATCTTCTTAATTTCTTCTTATCTTCAGTTGATTGATATATATACGTCTTTTGTATATATAGTCTTGGGCCAAATGCTCGCCACAATAATATATGTCTATATTATTGAAAAGTAGTAATACGCAATCTGACTTACGGTTTCTTCAGGTTTATTCTTTGTTACGGATACATAATAAAACATAATAAAGGATGTTACAGGATTATGGACATTCAACAGCAGATGGTAATTGCTGTACTTCTGATGGGAGAGTTACATCGTTGTACAGAGCCAAGACTCAAGCCAAGACTGAGAGACCTCGTGTCCCTCTGTTACTATATAGATGTGCTAATACTAATGTCAGCATTTAACTCTAGCCATATAAGGACAAGACCCCCACATCCACATTCCAGAGCTCTCGGACAAAGAAAGCCTTGTGACTTATTGATACCATCTGTTACTTATGTCAATCCACACATCCATATATATAATCAATAGAAACATAGAATATGCAATATTCTACAGGTCATGACTGCTGGCACTTGAGTTGGCATTGCAATACTCATGCTAGCAGTGCAATGTTGCAAGGCAGGAGTCTAAGAGAGCAGAGTTTAACTTACCATTCCCCAGTTCAGGTTTATCTGGAGAAGAAAGCAGATTCCCAACCTATCTTTCTGTAGTTTATTATTTGTTTTATAGAGTATGCTGTTTTGGTGTGTCTTCTTTTTGTCACAGTTTGGGGGTAGTCCTGGCCAGTACATTGAACAAGAGCTGCCCTGATCAGGCTTGGGAAGACACAGCCTGCCACTTGGGATAACCGTAAATAGAGCAGGCTGTATGGACTCAGACATTTGGAATACTATCTGTCTGATAGACAGTCACCCCGTCAGCTGACAGGTCATTTAAATGTTTAAGTTGGCAAAAGTTCAATAAAAGCTGTGGCCAGTGCCCTATCCACTTTAACAATCTTCTCTTGTACTTATTGTTGAGGTAATAAGCAATAATGGCATTAAGGGACATTTTTAGGGAGGGAGGGAGGGTTTATTTTCTGGATAAGCAGTCATGATATATCAATGAACAGCACAATGTTGCGAATAAACAATACAAAAGATTTTACATGGCATAAACATTTTAGCATAGACGCATACTAAAGTGTTTATTTTAAAATAATATAATGGAAACTGTACATAAAAGACTCATTTTAAAGAATATTTTATTTGGACCTCACTTGGCTATATTTATTATCATAAAGTATCTACACCGTAACATCAAGGAAACTGAAAGAAATGTTTTTGAAAAGCCTTTATTCATAGAAATGTTTAATTAATTTAATTTGTATTGTAATCAGCATTGCTTTTAATTAGTATTTAGGATTTAGCAAACAAAACAAAACCATCTTAGCAGCCACATTTTCTTCAGTACAAGATTGCAAAGCCTCTACAGTAGTACACAATGAATATTCTTGGTTATCAATTCAATTTTAGCTACCTGTTTGTTACATTCCATTGAAAGTCTCAGAAAATAGAGACAATTATCATAATATGTGGTGACTTAGCAGAAACATGCTCCACATCAGACAGTTAAAAGGTTTCTTTGCCATTAGAAACATGTTAATACTCTTAATAGTGTCTCTAGTTGCTTTGTAACGTTTCGTTGAAGTAAGGAATTCTTTTATCTTGCTATCACATTATGCAAAAACTTGAATTGAAAAGATATGTGTAGGACCATTTAAAAGAGGGCATCAATCAGTTACAAAAATGAGAAAATGTTCTTACAATACTTTATAAAGGGATAACTGCCAGTTCCATTTTGTATGAACAAAGGAACTGGTTTAAAAGGCATGTTATTCTGAAGACATACTGAGCAATTCAATAAATAAATTGTATACCTATAATGAGCAAAGGCATATAATTATGACCTAGCTTTTATGACACCATGTATAACTTTGTAATACAGGATAACACAGTTGGATGTCTGCAGGTTGTAGTCATAGTCAAATTAACTACAGCATAGATACTGTTAAAATACAGATCCTTCAGGAAACTTTCTATGAATACTCGATTACAATAGGTAACCTGAAAGGCTTGGTAAAAAGTTGAATCTAGGTAACAAATCTGAATTAACTGAGCGGGCCATTTTTTTTCCATAGTATTTTTTTAACTGGACTATTAACTTGCTTTATAGTGAATAACACACTAAGTACGTCAGTTGGCATGTCATGTGCTAATACTAGATGGAAAACTAATCTAATTAAAATAAAATACATGTTAAACCAGATTATACTACAGGGTCGTTGAATGCTTCAATCTGATTGGTTGACGAATGTTCTAAGGTGTGCATTATTTTCAGGGAGTCGCATGGCTAAAGTAGTTCCAGACAGGTCTTGACCACATTGCAGTTGCGTAAGAAATTAGTCCTACATACAAGAGCGTTTTAATGACAAAAACGACAAACGTCTTGAAATACATAATCTGAACAATGTTTCGAGGTGTGGTAACTGTAGCATAAGCGGAATAATTGACTCCAGGCTGTTGAAGTATTAGAAAAAAATAATGCACACGCGAGTGTGCATTATTTTTTCTAATAATTCAATGGCCTGTCGTCAATTATTCCTTACTTAATGTTACTTTGTCTTAAAGTGACACTGTAGGCACCCAGACCACTTCAGCCCATTGATGTCCCACGTCCCTTAACCCTACAGTGGTAGTTATTGCAGTTTCTGAGAAACTGCAATAATTACCTCTGAAGATTAACTCCACCACTAGTGGCTGTCTAATTGAAACGGACCTTTGGTCCGGTATCTGACGCTGGACGTCCTCACGCTTTGCGTCATATTTTTACCCATAGGAAAGCATTGGAAAGGACATCGGCGCTGGATTCAGTTAAGTCACTGAAGGTGTTTTAAACCCTTCAGCACCGCGGGAAAGGGGGCGCGAGGGAGGGGGGCACTGTTTAATTCTATATTGCCAGGAAAATGGCTTTGTTTTCCTGGCACTATGGAATCCCTTTAAGGGATGTATCATGTATCACATACTTGTGATACAGAATCGTTCACTTTTTTCCCCCCTTTTTAACTAATAGTGGTTAAGCCTGTTATAAAATGAGGGTTGTGTTATTAATACATGCTATGCATTTTAACATTTTTGAAAATTATTTTTCCACCCATTCTCTCCCAGCTCTTTGTATACATAAACTCAGTTTCATTGTTTAACTGCTTTGCACATAAAACCTCACTTATCTTCTCTCTGCTTCAGTGCTGGTCGTCACTTGACAGAGAAGTACATTTTTCTGCTGAGACTCCAGCCGGTTCCTTGGCACAGGACAGAGGGAAAATAATTGCTGATCCCCCTTGCTTCATTGTTTGCATATCTGGCTTTATTGATCTATCTGAACAGGTAAAACAATTGCTATGCTGTTCGAACTCTGGCATTATCTTCTGGGGGTTTTAATGGAGCCACATTCCAACTAGTTCAATTAATTAGATTTAAAGGGATACTCCAGGCACCACGACCACTTCTGCCCATTGGAGTGGTCTGGGTGCCAACTCCCACTATCCTTAACCCTGCAAGTGTAATTATTACAGTTTTCATAAACTGCAATATTTACATTGCAGGGTTAAGTCCTCCTCTAGTGGCTGTCTACTAGACAGCCACTAGAGGGACTTCCGTGTTCATAGAACAAGAAAAGTGGTTTAAAACGATGCTGGACGCCCTCACGTTGCAGCGTCGCCGAAATCCCCAAAGGAAAGCATTGCAAGCATTATTCAATGATTTCCTATGGGGAGGTCTAATGCACGTTCGCGGCCATTGGTAAGGAGCGTAGGTGGAGCCTGACCCAGTGCCGAGGGACATAGGCGCTGGACTCCGGTAATTCACTGAATGGATTTTAACCCCTTCAGCAACTTGGGATGGGGGGTGGGAGGTAGAGGGTCACTAGAGTGTCATGCAGTGCCAGGAAAACGAATATGTTTTCCTGGCACTGTAGAATCCCTTTAAGGTTATCAGAGAAACTTCCAAAATTACATTTATTTTGGCATATGTATATTTGCCTATTTACAAATTGTAGTGGACCACGGGTAACCCGACTGGTTACCTTCACTAATTCCTTCCATCGGCCACTCTTGAACCATTAAAATAAGCATACATCCATTTCCCCCCAGTAACTGGACGACACACAGTTCTTGGAGTACAACTCGAAGTTATACACAGACCCCCAGTAGGGGGTCTTCATACATTACACACAAACTCCTCCCCTGTGCCTGGGAGATAACTGAGTTAGGAACTGTAAAAACTCAATTATTCCCCAGGTTCAAAAAACTCCACAATTTTAAAATACCCCACAAACACATTTTAAAATTTCAAAACCCCACGAAAGTTACATCACCGAATAGCTGGGATTTGGGTGCAGGTGTCACGGCAAGAGTACATAATTAATTGTTGCACTATAGAATATTGCCATTTAATGTAATTTGTGTAGCGCATATATGAACTGGCTGCCTGGTAGAGGTGATATTGTCATTTTCAAAAGAGGTTAATTTGATTGTATGGGAGGGTAGAAGGTTTACAATCTAAATTCCTCTTTAAGAGCTATTCTGTAAGGTGTGAGAAGTCACACATAAGTGGCCTGGAAGTCTGGCTTCAGTATAAACTAACCCTCTCATTTGCCAAATGTCTTGATTGCCTCTTAGATAAGGAGTCATTTGATATGAACATGCCTTGTGTTCCAATATTATTCCCACATTATCACATTTAGAATGGGACAAGCACAATCTTTCAATCAAGCCTAAACATGATGTGTGGAACAAGGGGACCATACAGATAGGGAGATACCCAGCAAGATGACCTGAAAACAATAAGCAGGCAAGCAAGTGGGCACACGTGGGCATGGTACTCAGTGATGGCATTCTATCACACAAATAATCTTATGTGATGTTTATAAGACTGTTGGTTATGGAATCACATTGATACGGTTATAGGCAGTATTGCAGTGAGATTATACCTCACTAAGAAATGGGTTACAGTGAATAAAATACTGTAGTTTACAGAGTCACATCAACTGCTGAGCATGTACTCTAACAGCCCAGTGCTTCTCTATGAGAAGCGTTGGAAAGGCTTGGGAACTTCACTAGTGAGATCTCCCAGGGCCAGAGTGGAGTTATGTCAAGAAGACACTCTCACTACTGGGTCAGAAATCAACAGCACTATTTCAAAACACCAGAATTATAAATAAATGTATCTATTTAAAACACTCAAGTGTTCCTCTAACTGCAGTCTCATTCCTAGTCTACATCCTCCCACTACCAAACATGCATTTTATTTTTGTTTCCAAATGCTAGGGGTATTTACTGGTTTTGAACATGCCCTCCAATTCTGGGAATCTACAGACTGGATGTATTAACCATGACCCGCATCATGGATGAAATCGAGAATGTGCGCAGTGCCCAAACCCATGCAGTTTCCCCCACAGTGCAGCTGCTTCATTGGCCCCATTTCTATAGCCAGCAACATGCACAGATTTCGCACAGCAAAGACATGAGCACTAAACACTAGCTTCAGAAATGCACAAAAGATATGCTTGAGAAAGACCCACATTTTTTTTTTTGGACAATGCATGCACATTTAATAAGCTGTAGTTGTTCTGGTGACTATAGTGTCCCTTTAACACTCACTTTGAGTATTGCATAATGCTCATCTGTCAGTCTGGGGACACAAAATATAGCCCCTGCTGACAGAGGGGGCCCCAGATATCGATCAACACTTGCGACTTCCTGGTGCAAGCATGGATTTAACCGTGTTGATGCCAGAAGGTTAGGACATTTCATACGATTCTAACATCATTAAAGTCCACTCTGTGAAGGATGGCATGGAACGTCCTAACACAATTATGGGGTTGGTCATCCAGTAAAATCTATATTTCATTATTACCTTTATCTGCTGTCTAAAGCCTAACAGGCTTATTCACTTAAGTGAGCATTGCCAAGAATTCAAAGTGAACTTCAAATTTAAAGACGAATAGCCAAATTAAAAACAGAATTGACTTGGAAATTTTTTCCAATTTGTCTATTTTGGACTAAATTTTGAAATTCACTTTAAATTCCTGGTAATCCTCACTTTAGTAGATAGTCTTGTTAGTCTCAGACCTGGGCTTTCTAATCAGGCCATGTTGGGTGACGTTACAAGAAAAGCACTAGTTGAGAGGAACTGAACAGGGGATACCATTAAATGGGGCCCTAGGGCGACACAGGAAATACATGGATTTAAAGGCACGTGGCTATATAAACAAATGATAATACTTAACAGTCTTGATAGCCTGTGGTTTATGTTGGCACTTTAGAAATAAATGCTAATAATAATCATGATAATGCTCTTGATTGTGCCATTTTATAACATCTATTAGCATTTGATTCTTATAGTTTAACAATTAACTCCCACATCTCGGGAAGATCTTTTAATAGTAACTGGTTTGATATTACAGACAGTAAAGTCTTGAATCAATTATATAAAAGAAAAAAAACACATCTTACTGCACTCTTGAGAAAGCATTAGTTTGCTACAAGAACATTAATGGGTATCTCACATCTGTGCACGTTGCTACTGAATAGGAAAAAAAAAGGTTGTTACCATAGCTACAATCTCATTGTACAGAACATGTACAACTTCTGAAGTACAGGACTCCCATTTATTATATTTTACGCATTGCTACAACTTATGTGCAAATATAAATTAAAAATTGGAATCTCTGCATTAATGTGAAACGAACACAAATACTAGTTTAGAAATATATCGGGGTTTGACTTACATAAAATTCTTTCATACACATATACTGGTTATTCTTGAGCATTGATTCTCTATGGCTAGCAAAGCATCAAGGGAGATGTCGTTTCACAAGAACTGAAGGGCTACATGTTGTCTACTCAATTTTAAAGTAATCAAAAAGGCATTACTACAGTAACCTCATGTGTTAATAAAATT